ACTGTGGGTAGTCTTTGTCATCACCCTGCTCGGTGGCAAACCAGGGTTTTGTGCAGGCTGCCTAGATGAACTCTACTCCTTGTTCACTGAAGAAAGCAGATCCTAACGCCAGTGAGAGAAACTTTGTCGTGCGGACATAACCTTGAATCTGCTGTAACACGTGATTAGACAGACTCATTCTTGAACATCAGCGCTTGATTTCTGATACCAAATGAGTGATGTCACACATCAAGAGGCTTGGGCACACCCAGCACCTCGGCACATCATCGCCTGTGGCCAACAGCTGCTGCTTAAGTGGCCTTCTCCCTCTCCAGAAACACATTTTGTTAGAGCTTCTAAACCTGTCTCAGAGAATTCAGCCTCTGCGGGAGTCTCTAACCTACAGGTTGTCCTCACCCACCCATCCCCCTACCCCCACCCACCCCACATTCATGGTAGGGAAGGGGAAAGGGCAGCAGCTGTGAGGACCTGCACCCCTTTAGCCATCTCCCCCTCTACACAGACACCAACCTTAGCCAAGGATTAACCTCACCCTTAAAAATTCATTTTTAACACGTGTTATTTGTAAAAATGTGTTCGCTGTGTCTTCAAGCACTCTGCAGGTTTTGTGGGCCATGTGACGTAGGGTACATGTAGTAGGTTGGAGGGTTAACATACCCTGCACTGTCGCATATGGCAGTGAGCAGAATCGCAGATGTTGACGATACCACGTAATTAGTATTCTTTTATGTAAATGAAGGCTGTCAGCATGTTACCATAGTGTCTGCTCTCTCTGAAGCTGGAATTTATGCCACTTGGTCTCACCAAGACCAGACAGGATTATTTCACTATCCTTAGTTAAGAACTGAGAAGAAATCAATACAATAAGAGGGAAGAAGTGGAAATCTCCCCCAAGTAGATTTTTCTAAATTTTTCTTATTTTTGTTTTTTTATTTTCCCCCCAGAAATTTTATTTCTGGTGATGCCGTTACACATTTAAGATATGCTAAGAAATTTGCTATTTGAGAATTATTGGAATAGTCCAATTAAAAGATCATATTTTCAAGTTATAGAGTTTTGAAAGGTTTTGTAGTATTCAGTTATCTCTCTTATACAGAGACTTTTAAAGTATGGTGTGATAAAGCTAGAAGTTTCTCATCAGAACAAAAGGCAAACATTGAAAAGATTTTATTACTTTCTTTTACTATTTGATGATATTAACTATAGTAGAATGCTTTTAAATATTGATTATGGTTTTTAGCTTCAGTTGATTCAGATTTTTAAAATAAAACTATGACACTTAAAGAAGCAAAAGCTAATGTTTTGTCAGGTTTGCTTTCCCTGTGTGCAGATTGATCCAGGGTGTGCAGGACATTGACTTACAGTTATTATCTCCTTAATGATGGAGAACTGTTAGGGCACATCATGTTCGTTCCCAGTTACACTGCAAGTCTGTCTCTTTTGGATACTGAGTGCCTGTCACACTGGATGATATATGTTTTAAGTGGAAATGTTAGGATTTTTGTGACCTGTGGAGATTATGAAGGAAAAGATGTCCATGTCAGAAAAATGTAAAATAGATTTCCTCTGTATGCGTGTGGATGTTAGGCCTTGTTGTTAAATAAAGTGGTCAGAGGGTGTATGAGAGGTGGGTGAAACATGCAGTCTTTCTTGAACTGAGTATACCCAAGATTCTGTTCTCTTTATTCTCTATTTTCTGTGTTGGCTTTTCTGTCACTTTTGAGTGATTTCCGTTTCACAATCAGATGTGGTTTTCCCCTAGAGAAGCTAGCCTGCCTAGGTTAAATCAGTGTGGTGAGGTGCAGAGTAGCCCTGTGTTTTCCTGAATGGATTTAGTCTGCCATATGGCAGGTTAGTGAGTTGCTGCGACAGATTTGTAATGGGTAAAGGGCTTGTAGGAAAGGATGTGCGTGATCAGCAGATTTATAGATCAGAAAATGAAATCAGAAGAAAGAATTTCCAGAGTGCCCTTTCCATTTGACAGCTCTCCATGGAGAGGGTATGGAATGGTTTTTTAGTGTTTTTCTATTTTGGCTTTGGTTGTTCCAGCATATTTTTTCTGACACACGAGTTGATTTCATAAGGCATCAGTGTTCTGGGTGTTGTGGTGTTGTCCTCCTGTTCACAGAAATACTCTCTCTTTGTAGGATTTGAAGCTGTGCTGTGTTTCATGTGATAAGATCTCAGTAGCAATTAAATTCCTGAAGACACATCAAGGCTCCTGTGGGGCTAAAATGGGGATTTGTCAGGTTTTGAGTTATAAGAGGCTATTCAGACATGATTCAGCAAGTACTTAATCTTTCAAAAGAAAGAAAACAAAAAGAAAGGCTGTAGTGAGCTAAAGATAGTATGCCCTGATGTATTTAAAAGTCTGTGCTATCTAATACTGCAGCCATAGTCACATGTGGCTATTTAAATTAAAATTAAATAAAATTAAAAGTTCAGCCCCTCAGTCTCACTAGCCACATTTCAAGTAATCAGTAGGCACATGTGGTAGTTTGTGCAGTATTCAACAATGCAGATAAAAGAATGTTTCCATCATTGCAGGAAGTTCTACTGGACAATGTTGGTCTAAGTGAAAGATCTTGAGAAATAAACTTCTTCTTTTGATTTCTATGAGGAGTTCTTCATCCCTATATAACTTACTGGATTAATACAGCAATTCTAAGGTTTTAATATACAAATGAATCATCTGTAGAGCTTGTTTAAAATGGAGAGTCAGATTCGTCAGGTTTGGGGTCATAACTAGAAACCTGTACATATGACAGGTATCCTGTGGAATTCTGATGCTGGTAGGTGGTTCAGAAACTACATTTTGAAAAATATTAAATTATTGAGAAACTTGAGACTTGCCAATGTCTTGATTTCTTTCCCCTTTCATTCTTTGTGTGTTCTAATTTGGCTGTGCCCTACAAAAATAAACAAATGGTTATTTTAGTACCATTCCAGGCTGTGTGGGAAGGTAATTCTGACAGAACACCTTTGACCACTAAGAGTTGAACACCCAGAAGTTTTGAAATTATAAAGGTGTTAAAAAAAAAAAGAAATACAGCACATGATCTCCTCTGAAGGAAACTATAATCTAGTTAGGAAATGGATAAATACATCCACAGAAATGAGTTAAAGGGCACTTGGCAACTAGTCAACAATTAAAAAAATAATATAGTAGAAAGTAAATCCTCAAAATGCTCAAAGGAAAAGCATGATCTGACTTGATTGAAGGTAATCTAGGTTACTTTCCTTTGTATGATTTAAGGGTTTTTTATATGAGGACATGACCTCCGCCATTTGGAATGGGCAGTTTAAAAATGGGAAAGATCTCTAATTTGGTCCTGTGACATATCTGTGAGTAGGTCCAAGCCAAAAAAGGTATCTGGAAAATCAACTAAAGGGACCTCTCAGAGTGCGCTGGATTTAGAACTTCTCTGGGTGATCCCATAGTCATAGAACTGCATTTGCTCACAGAAATGAAAGTGGACAAGAAATGGAGGTGAAGGAAGTTCACTTTATAAGAGGAAATACCTTTAGGTAATTTTAAGTATTGGTATTAGGAAAAAAAAAAAAAACAAGACTCTCAAGGTTCCAAAGAATAAAGTTTTCTTTAAAATAGTTGTATAGCCTCTTCCTTGGAGAAATTGCATATTAGTCTTCTCCGATGAACAATATTGAAGAAGCAATATGAGAAAGGAAAAAAAATTAAAAAGCTCAGTAGTTCAGTATGTTATCACTGCTTTAAAAAAACATCACATATATCATCTGAAAAGTTTGCTTTTTCCTTTTGTCTCAGTAGTTTAGTTAAATACTGTAATACCAGTAGCCACTTCACCTCTAATCCGTCCTGAGTCAAATCTGTTTAATTCTGTACATATCTGTTCTTTTAGTAGAGAAGGTGAAAGTTTTCCCATCCTTTCTACAAGGTGTAAATGTTCTTTTCAAAAAGACACATTTTCTTAGTCCCTCAGGGTTGCTATAACAAAAATACCATAGACTGGATGGCTTATAAAAAACAAACATTAATTTCTCACAGTTCTGGAGGCTAGGGGGTCCAAGACGATTTTACCATATTTCATATCTGTTAAGGAATGAACTTCCTAGTTCATAGCCATATGGCTGGCTCTTCACTGTGTCCTCACAAGGTGGAAGGGGTGAGGGAGCTCTTTTATAAGGGCACTAATCCCATTCATGAGGGATCATCCCCTGAGGGTCAAGCCATTCAAGACCTAAGCACCTCCCAAAGACCCCACTTCCTAATACCAACACCTTGGAGGTTAAGATATTAGCATTTGACTGGAGGCACAAACCTTCAGACCTTAGCAGACATATAAACCTGACATCCTTAGCCAGGTTCTTTGGACTCAAGAAAATAAAATACTTTGTACTGCGGAGGACTTTCTCTTTCTTACCTTAACCATATCCTGTTATCTCTGCTTTGAAATACATTGAAACCAACCTGAGCTTGTCTTTTTACTTGAGGGTCTTCATCTCTCCTGCTGGTATGTGAAACACTATGCCTTCTTTCTTTTCCTCTCTCCTGTCCCTTTCTGCATGTAGCCAGGATCTTGTCAGAAGACAGAGAGGCTTTCACTTCCAGAACATCAACAGTTTAGAGATGGTTCAGAATATATAGATTTCTTTCCCCTCGTGGCCAGTTGGGTGCAATGTAAAATAGGGTAATAAGGTTTCTTAAGGAACACAAATCAGCCTTACATAAAAATTAGCTGATATTCAATAATTAAAACAGGCTTGGAAAATGTAAAATTTCACATTGGTGTTAAGGCCTCTCATTTAGTGTTTTATGAGTCTTACTTTTTAAGGAATTTAACTGTGCTTCTGTAATTCCCAGTCTGTGCCCAAAATTTTTTTAAACTTCCTTCCAAAAGAGCTAATTTTGAATTAAAAACTAATAAATACTGACTGGTAAATGCCGGATGCAAGCCTTTCTAGGAAACTATTTTGCTGAAAGGTTTCTCTCTTTCTTTTGGGGGGCCCTGTCTTGCCAGGTTGAAAGAGTGGAGACTTCTATAAGACATGGATAGATGCAAACATGTAGGGCGGTTGCGGCTCGCCCAGGACCACTCCATCCTGAACCCTCAGAAGTGGTGCTGCCGGGAGTGCGCCACCACCGAGTCGGTGTGGGCTTGTCTGAAGTGCTCGCACGTGGCCTGCGGCCGCTACATTGAAGATCACGCCCTCAAACACTTCGAAGAGACTGGACACCCGCTAGCCATGGAGGTCCGGGACCTCTACGTGTTCTGCTACCTGTGCAAGGACTACGTGCTCAACGACAACCCGGAGGGGGACCTGAAGCTGCTGAGAAGCTCCCTCTTGGCGGTCAGGGGCCAGAAGCAGGACCCGCCGCTGAGGCGCGGGCGCACGCTGCGGTCCACGGCCTCGGGCGAGGACGCGGTCCCGCCGCAGCGCGCCCCTCAGGGACAACCGCAGATGCTCACGGCTCTGTGGTACCGGCGCCAGCGCCTCCTGGCCAGGACGCTGCGGCTCTGGTTCGAGAAGACTTCGCGAGGCCAGGCCCGGCTGGAGCAGCGGCGGCGGGAGGAGGCGCTGGAGCGCAAGAAGGAGGCGGCGCGGCAGCGGCGGCGCGAGGTGAAGCGGCGGCTGCTGGAGGAGCTGGCCAGCGCCCCTCCGCGCAAGAGCGCGCGCCTGCTGCTGCACGCGCCCCGCGCCGCCGCCCCGCGCGCCACAACCGCGCGCGCGCCCGCCGGGCCCCGCCCCGCGCCGCGCCGCGTGCCCGTCATGGCACCAGGCGTTACGGGCCTGCGCAACCTGGGCAACACCTGCTACATGAACTCCATCCTCCAGGTGCTCAGCCACCTGCGCAAGTTCCGCGAGTGCTTCCTGAACCTCGACCCGTCCAAGACGGAGCAGCTGTTTCCCAGGGCCGCCAACGGCAAAGCCCCGCTTGCGGGCAGGCCGGCCAGCAGCTCGGCCACCGAGCTGTCGCCGAGGAGCAATGCGGCCGAGGCCTGCGAGCGCGAGGGCTTCTGCTTGAACGGCGGAGTCTCCCTCAGCAGGAGCTTAGAACTCATCCAGAACAAGGAGCCCAGCTCAAAGCACATCTCGCTCTGCCACGAACTGCACACCCTCTTCCGCGTCATGTGGTCCGGGAAGTGGGCCCTGGTGTCACCCTTCGCCATGCTTCACTCGGTGTGGAGCCTGATCCCCGCCTTCCGCGGCTACGACCAGCAGGATGCGCAGGAGTTTCTCTGCGAGCTGTTGCACAAAGTGCAGCAAGAACTCGAGTCCGAGGGCACCACGCGCCGGATCCTCATCCCCTTCTCCCAGAGGAAGCTCACCAAACAGGTCTTAAAGGTGGTGAACACCATATTTCACGGGCAGCTACTCAGCCAGGTGGGTGTGTGCCAGGCCCAACCCCGGCTGCCCATCACACTGGAGCAGAGCTGGTATGGTAGGTAGGGTTCTCGTGAGAGCCTCCTCCAGGTTGTTATCCTGACTCAGGTAGCCAGCATTTGCCGTAACTATGCATAGTTGAGGGCGGCCACTGTACCTTTCATGGTACTGTGCGATGGCCTTGGTGAGCTTGCCTCTTATCTCTTCCCAGGATTTTTTTTTTTTCAGGCAGATTTTTAACTTGCCATTATCTCTTCATTTTCAGTGAATGTCTTTAACCTGTAATGGTGATCTGGGTAATATAATCTTCCCATTGTTATAATTAAATACCCACTGTTGGCATGCCATTCTTTGATCAGTTTTTAGAAATTGAGGAGTTTGCCTCTAACCTTGGTTACATAGTTGTTTGAAAGAGCATTCTTCCTTCCAAGGCATTCTTTACATACAAGGAAGGGAGGTGGCTAGGAGGATGCCAAAGGCCTAAGCAAGCCTTCCTCCTGTTCCCCATTACCTTTCATTTCCTGGATCTTTAGCCATGTAAGGACATGAGTGAAGACTCTGAGATAAGGCTTCGTGAGAATATGTAGAAAGAATTTTTAGAGTTAAAAAAGTGAGCAACTTAAGAGATCCAGGTAAAACCTCTACACAGTGCTACTGAGGTTCTGTATCTTGGTATTTAGGGTTTTCAAAGAATGATGATTAGAACACGAAGAGAAAGTGTATTTAGGGTTTTGTTTTTCAGCATGTGAAAGGAGTATTTATTGGTAGTTCCTCTATCTCCTTAGGGTCTGTAGAAAGAAGGTGCATCTGGGTAGGTTAGAGAGAAGGAGGAGGGCTAATCACAAGGTACTTTGAAGCTCTTAGGACACAGGGATCAGTGTAGGGATGCTGCAGGAAACAAGGGCAAGAAGAGAGGCAAGTTGGACTGGATGGAAGGAGCAAAGTCTAGAGGAGAAAGGAGTGTGAGGATGAGAGAAGCAGACAGGAATTTGCAGATTGTCCACCTCAGACTGGTGCCTCAAACTACTGCACAGTAACTTCCATCTGTACTACTGCAGCACTGAATGGTAGAGCATGCTTTGGGAAAGGAGAAGTGAGAAAGGGGTCGGTAATAATCTTTGTGCTCTGTGGCTTTCCAGTTCCAGCTTGTGTCATAGTTAGAAATACATACCAGAAATAATACCCTCTAATTCTCTTAAAGTTAATGTTTATTATTTTAAGATTACACTTAAAAATTTTTTTGAAAACTATACACTTACTTTTGGTTGTTATGTGTCTTTCATAAAGCTAGCAAAAATGTATGCGGGAAGCATGGAAGTTATATAACCTATAAACCAATCTTTTCATTCTAGGTCACATGTGTATCATGCAATTACAAATCCAATACCATCGAGCCCTTTTGGGATCTGTCCCTGGAATTCCCTGAACGCTATCACTGCATAGAAAAGGGGTTTGTCCCTTTGAATCAGACAGAGTGCTTGCTCACTGAGATGTTGGCCAAGTTCACAGAGACAGAGGCTCTGGAAGGGAGAATCTACGCTTGTGACCAGTGTAACAGTGAGTGTGGGGGGCGAGGGTGTGTGTGTGTGTGTCTAACTGGAGTATCAGTTTAAGCTGTTTCTTTTGTCCCTTTAGGCAAAAGTAACACTAATAATATTGAGCAGTTCTAGAGCATCTTCTAAAGATTTTTTCCTCCCATGTTCCTGAAAACAAGTATATGGACATTATATTTAAAAAACAAAACAAAACCTAGGAGTTGGGCCTCCTTTGATGCTGTGACTGACATAAGTTGTTATCTTGGAAGGCATATGAAAGTATGGATCCTGAAATGAGGACTCCAAGAATGTGAGTGAGTCCTTAGCTTTGTAGTGTAGAGGGGTCCTGCTTAAATTCACGAATACAGAGTCTGACAGTTTTTATTTAATCTAAATTTAGGTGGTAGAGCCTGTTTGAGAGCTATGGTATCAGAAAAGTGTGCTATTGTTCTGAATTTGTAGATTTAAAGTCTGTCAGAAGTGATGCTAAGGATGGGTACAGTGAGACCAAGAAAGCAAGTCATGTGGTACATTGCTCTGGCAGATTCATAGTTCTTGTCTACGTTTATTTGTTTCTTCACATGCCTGAAAGGTTCACATCTTGGAAGGGGTCATAAGGAAGAATTTCTCTATCATGGCTTTAATTGTAAAGTGGAATTTTTTCCATATGGTTCTATGGGCATCTTATGCAGCCTCCCCTAGCCCCCATCTTGCCACGCTAACACTTAATGCTTTTGCTAACCCAGCGTGTACAGAGGAAATGCAGAGCAAATACTTGGAAGCTGATGGGTTTTGGCATATAGAGATTTGGAAGCTAAAATTCATGGATTATGCAGAGATCTGAATTCAGTTTGCAGCAGTATGATAATTTGGACTACAAGTTTTGGGAAAAGCAGTCTTGCAGCCTTTTTAGTATGTTTGCGTAAGATTTTTTATAGTAAATGATCAGAAACCTGTTCTCTCTGAAGAATCAATACAAAAATCAAGCCACACCTGATATCATTTTGCCATTTTAAAACAAAAATTGAAATGCTGTACTTCGTTAACTATAGATTCACCTGTCCTGTTCCATACTGAGATATAAAGGCAGTGACTTAAAGTATTTTATTACAGCAGTATCTGTGTGATTCACACAAAGCTTCTCACTTTTAAGGAGCAGAAGGACCTTAACAGCTTTAACTCCATCGTTTTCAGACCTGATGGATTAGTCAAGAAATAGTTTTATTTACTTTTGCAAGAAAGGATTGTGTTTTTCTGGTTGCCAGATGTGCCAATTTATCAGTATTTCTCTAGGCAGGTTCAGAAAATAGCAGGGAAACAAAGCTTTGGTGAAGGGACATGATGCATTGATCTGCTGCTTATGAACTTTCCAAACTATCAATCTTCCACCTTTCTGTGTGGCCAGCTTAATCAAATGGAGGCAGAACTGACCAATCTCAATTGAATCAGTAATTTCTTTTTCTTTGTGAATTTCATTTTAGGGAAACAAAGCCAGAGTCTACGTTGTCTTCATCTTAGCTCACATACTCCCTCTGCTGAGAGTGAAAGTCACTGCCAGGATTCCCAGGCATAGCTGCGATAATTTTCAAAAACCCTGTTGGTGAATAGGAATGCAAAATAAGGCCAGGGCCCTCTTTGAATTCTCTTTCTGCTCATGTTCTCACATAACACGACTGCCAGCCCTAGTAAAAGCTGCAGTCTAGCTGCTGCAATCTATTATGAGAAGCACCAGCTCCGCATCCTGTTGTCACAGAAAGCTCCGTGATACCTCATCTGGCTGTGATTCACTACCTTTCACAGGTGGTACAGACAGACCTAGAATCAGATGCCAGGCTCTTCAGACACTGAGACCATGGTATTAACAGCTCAAAGACAATTAGCAGGCACCAACGTGGACCATGAACTAATTTTATATTCCCATCCATTCACCGATTTAATTAATATGATAACAGAGCAGTCAGTAAATGGTTCTAGAGAAGGCTTCTGGAAATTAAGGGAACTTTATTTCCATTGTTTATTTGCTATAATTTAGAAATGCATTTCACCCACAATTCAGTAGCTTTAGAAACAAAATTGGAGTCTCGAACACTGGTTCTGCTTTGGACTGGGTGAATTTGGCCAGCCTGTCAGCCTGGTCCTGCATGCCTGGCAGTGTGCTGTTACCAATAAACATGTTTCAGAAAATAGGTATGCCATAAAAATGTAAAGCCAACAAAGTTTCTTTTCTATATATTTGTATAGGCCACAAGCAAATCATGCAGTGGGGGAAAATCTATTTAAATACTCGATCCTTTAGTAATCCTGTGTCCTCTTACCTTTTTCCTAAGCCTGAAATGTATGCATTAGTCCCAGTTTCACAGGAAAGGAAACTGAGGTTCAGAGTTTTGAATAACCTGTTTAATAGCGTACAACTAGCTGTGAGGAGGAAATAGAGTTAAACAAAAAGCTTTTTAAGTGATATATATGGCATGTTGTGATTTAAATTATAAGCCCAGATGTAAAAGGCGTAGAACCCTAACGTATGCATCTACTCTGTGTGCATGTTGTTGCAGTGACTTTCTGTTCTAGTCTTTTAATAAAGCCAGGAGATCAGGTGTGTACCGTCCTAAACCCCTATCAATTTTGGAAGATGCTGATGCAAAAATTGTAAAGTGGATGTATCAGGAGTAGGTTTGGTTGTTTGTAAGTCAACTTAAATAACCATGACTTAAAATGAGATGTAATTTTTTTCCCTCTTATATAAAAGAATTCTGAAGGACATTCTGAGTCTGGCTTGGTGGCTACATGGTCACTGGGGACCCAAGCTCTTTGCATCTTTCAGCTTTACTGTCCTAGTTCAAGGCTTCCATCCTTAAGGTTGCCTCATGGTCCAAGGGGAATTCCAGCAGTTGCAAACAGTGGAAAGGACAAAGGATGCATCTTACAACTGAGTCAGCCTTTAAGCAGCCATCCTAACACTACCAAACAATCATTCCTTTCATTCAGCTGGGGCTTCCAGAGCCACACCATGCAGGCACATGGGGCTGGGAAATGCAGTCTTAAAGAGGGTCACATTGCTGCCCCAAGTAAAATTGAGGTTTAAATACTGAGAAATAAGGAGAATGCATATTGAATGCCAAGTCATTATCTCTGCCATAGCTGGAAAAGAATGAGTCTCCTCACAATCTATGTCTTATACTTTCCCAAACCATATAGGCAAACGACGAAAATCCAATCCAAAACCCCTTGTTCTGAGTGAAGCTAGAAAGCAGTTAATGATCTACAGACTACCTCAGGTCCTCCGGCTGCACCTTAAAAGATTCAGGTGAGCTTGCTCTGGGACATCCCAGGTGGCTGTGCCCTGTGGGAGTAGCTGTTTCAAAGGCTTTGGCGAGGGCAGACGTCTTCTTTGGTGTTGGGAAAAGAAGCCTGTTCCTAGAGACCTTATGCTTTCCATGGAGCATATGGTTTACACCCAGGGAGGCGAGCTCATGTCAGGGGCCAGGACTGGGCTTCTGCTCTGGTGGCCCTGTTTAATCGGCTAGCCTGCACTGGGTATGTGCGCTTGAAGATTTTCTAGTCTCGCGTGGGCTTACATAGAGTCATCTGAATAAAGTCTGAGATAACCTGTGAAAAGAAGGGAAGGAGGTAAATTGCAAAAAGAGTATTGCCTGAATTGCTTGTTTAGGGATTTCTAGTTTCAGAGAACATCATGGAACATTCACAGGAAATATACATGAACATTAATTACCACTGTCTTATTGATGTGAAAACCAAATCCAGAAGGTTACATTTTCTCAGTTCCCCATTTTACCTACCTCAGTCTATGATCACACATGCCATTTCTTACTAGTAAAAAGTTTATATCCATGTTCTAGGTGGTCTGGCCGTAATCACCGAGAGAAGATTGGGGTCCATGTCGTCTTTGACCAGGTATTAACCATGGAACCTTACTGCTGCAGGGACATGCTCTCCTCTCTTGACAAAGAGACCTTTGCCTATGATCTCTCCGCAGTGGTCATGCATCACGGGAAAGGGTTTGGCTCAGGACACTACACAGCCTATTGCTACAACACAGAGGGAGGTGCGTGCGCTTTACTCTGTGGGGTGGGGGACACGGAAAAGGGTTGGCTTGTCCACATTTCATTCCTTTCCTTTTATTTCATCTATAGGAGGATATTACATTCATTAAAATCCAATGGAAAGAACTATGAAAGATGGATTCCAGTTTTGGATATATCACTAAGTAACAACATGAGATTGTTCTAACAGTTGACAGGAACTAACGTAAATTGCCGAGCGTGGTGCCTAGCGCATAATGGTCAATTAATGTTAGAGGTTGTTGTTATTAACACTTCTGCTGCAGAGCTCAGTTGCCTTCTGGGTTTTGCAGAAACAGTATGACCTATCTAACTTCATGGAGTAAAGCCAAGGACACTTACTGAGCACTGACTGTGTTCTTACGACCTCCCTTACCATGGGAGGTGTAGAGATACAAGGGCCCTTCCCAAGGAACTTGCAGTCCTTGTCCCTCAGGGCAGAGCCTCCCAGCTACTGCACTGAGGCAGGTGGGCTGCGGACATATTTTCAGTTTGTACCCATCTTGAACCCCTCAGACCTTGGCGCAGCCAGAGTAAGCCTGTGAACAAGTAATCCTTTATTCCTTCTAAGTTTCCTTTAGCTCTCCTCTCTATTTAATTTTCCCCTCTCCTCCTCCTCGTCCCATCTCTTAGCCCCCAGTCTTCCATCTTTGTAGAAGGACCTAATGGGCAGTGAAAAAGCCTGAATGAAATGAGGACAAAAATTTTAGTCACTTGATACTTTAAGCAGTATTGTGGTGGGGTCTGTGCGGTTAAAACCAATGGTTTCAGGGAAGTCTCCTGGTTTCATCTACTTTTCTCTTCCTTCACCACCACCGATCAAGGGTTGGCTCTGTTCAGAACTCCTCAGTTCCTTTCTTCATCTCCTTGTTTGCCTGCTGATTGGAAATGTAAGTTGGGTAGTCATTTTCTCTCTTTCATTTGGTTTCCTAGGTTTTTGGGTCCACTGCAATGACTCAAAGCTGAATGTATGCAGTGTCGAGGAAGTGTGCAAAACTCAAGCCTACATCCTGTTTTACACTCAAAGAACAGTTCAGGGCAATGCAAGAATCTCAGAAACCCAACTCCAAGCTCAGGTGCAGTCCAGCAACAACGATGAGGGCAGACCACGGACCTTCCCCTGATGGGAGGCACGTATCAAGGACTGGCTTGCTTTTAAACCACTGGTGTCTGTACGTCTTTCCTCTTACAGGAAATAAGGTTTGCTGCAGGAACAGATTACTAGATTTGCCTCACTGGCTCTAGAGCAGAAGGTGCCAGGTGACTATGTCCTATTGTAAAATTTGTAGTCACTTTCTTTTAAATGGGTTTAGAAATCCCCTCCTTTGATAAAACGAGTCAAAAGGAGTAACTTCTATGAAGATTCATCAGTTGTTTCTGAATATAGAGGGATCTGGGTGGAGGAAGGAGGGAGTAAATTGGTCATATCCAGCCGTGTTTTCTTTCTATTACGTGATTCCCCTGCTAATCAGGACTCCTTGCAGCACCAGAAGAACCCTCCTGATGTGAGCAGCCCTCGACAGAGCACATGAGGAGGGGCCCTGGGCTGGCAGCTTGCTGGATAGGATTGATTCCAAGGCTAGAGGTGAAGTCTAAGGATTTGTTCCTACAAAGGAAGTAGCCCTCAAGGGTGAAAACTCGCAGACTTCCTTTTTTAGGGGATAGCAGCTGAAGAGTGGAATGAGATGCATGGAGCAAATTTCCCCATGCAGAATGGGAGCTTTTTCATGTGTCATACTCTCCCTGGCTGCTGCCATCAATCATTTCGAATCTTCTGAGACTGGCATGAATATCCCTTCGTCCTAAAGGAGTTCATATGGGGAAGCAATAAACTAGTACCTGACGTGTTCTCTGTGGCATGCTGAGCCTCAGAGCACTCCTGGCTACCCAGTTCTGTAGCAAATCCCTGGTTCAGGTCTAGGGCAAGCACATAATTTGATTTAAATTGGTCTTTATGTCAGTTGTCTAAGGCTTTCCCAGAACTCAGCTGGGGGGCGGGGCTGCCGGTAGTCCACGGCCTATATAAATGCCTGTCACCCATTCTCACCCTGGTACAGCATACAGCTTGTCTTAGCCTGCAGCTTATTTCTTGCACCAGGAAGGCTAGAACATCCTTGTTCACAAGGTGTGGGAGCTTTTGCTTTCCTAAGGCTTAGGAATCTGCCTCCCATATGTCTGAACAGTTTATTGCCTATGGCCTTGGCCTGTTTCCTCCCAAATATGCTAACCTCTACTGTTCCTTTACCCATCCACACTCAATCCATCAGAGAAAAAAGCGAGAGTGCCCTGTCCTTAATTCCAGTGCTAGTAAAATATATCTTTTTTAAATGGGTCAGTTTCTAAGTGGCACGAATTTGCCCAGATGGAAACCTTCTGCCCCATCAGGCACCACTGAATTTTTCCTTCTCAGTCCTTTGCTTAGACTCACCAGTAAAAGTGAATGCAAGCCGTAACTCTGATTGTGGGGGTGCGCAGCCCGCCTCAGCCTGTCACTCGGAACGCTCATCTTTTGACTGAGTATATCATATTAATATTTCAATTCAGGTAGAAGTACAGTTGCCACTTGAAGGGAGTAGATGTGAAGGGAGTTTGGGGAGGGGTGGGAAGTTGGGGGAAAGAGAGGCTAAAGAATGAGGGTTGTAGCTTTAGCTGTGTTAAGGAACCACATTTCCCAAGCAAATCTGTAGCATTTGCTGTTGACCTCTTTTGAGATGAACGCTCCCATGGGACCTGCCTGACAGCACTGAGACTTGGAGGAAATCAGACAGAAAATGGCTCACCCTGATAAGGGGAGTGACTATATTTTAAATTAAACTTGCTTTTTCCAACACTGTGAGGTTTCTGTAATGTTTAGCTTTTATTTGGAAGCGATAGCGTATGGCATTTTTTATGCTGTTTGGTTTATATGGTCTACTGCAGGCTTCTTTCTACAAGCTTGGCCCGGGCTCACCCTCACCTGGACACTGTTTTAAAGTGTCACAGCTGCCCGCACGCCAGAGACTCTGATGTGAAGCTATAATCTCTAGATCTACATTTTTAAGTCGGCATGATTGGTGATGACTGTTTGTGGCAATAGAAAAGCCCATTAATTCAAAAAAAATTTTTTTACAATTTTATACAAAAAAACCCAAGGAGAGTAAAAAAGGAAAGGAAAATATAAATTGTGCCTCATCTTTCATTGAATGCTATATTTGTTATTCTAGAAAAAGAGAACTTACAAATGGAGAAGTACTAATAGAGCATCTACTTCATCCCTCAGGCTGTCCAGGGGGAAATACTTAAGAAAAATAAACATTTAATGGAAAATTAAAAGATCTTCAATTTAATTTTTAAAAATAGTTTTATACCAAGTATTAAGGATTATTAAGCAGACCAAGAACTTTGTAAAGTGCTTAACTTAGATGAGCACCCATGTGTCAAATTAATAAAATTGTTTAAAATGAGTTGGAGTAGAAACCAGCATCAGAGTCCTCAATGAGCTGCACACACTTGAAGGTGTCCCTGCAGTCAGACACCTCAGGTACCCAGAGGCAGCAGCACTAGACGCTGTTGGGAAGTTAGTATTTATGGAGATTTTTATTAAAGAAAAGAGTTCCCTGCTGCATAAGCCAATGGCTGTTGTGAGGGAAATGTCCCTTTGCCTTTAATTTATTTACATATTGGAAGTAGATGAATTTCTTAGTTGCAGCTTACTTTAAGTCAGAACATTCTAAAGAGAAGAGAGAACCAGGTAGAAGTTGACTAGATGCTGCCAAATCAAACCCAAGATCTCCTAACTGAACCTTATGGGCCTGCTTCTCTCCCAGGCAAGTAGTTCTAGGAACTCTTTGTAGTTGGCTGGTGTGTTTACTTCCTGCTGTAGCCAGCCAAGACGAATGCACCCTGGCCCTCAAAAAGGATTTTACCTCAATCTAGCTTGACCCTCATGCTTGTAGTTGCCTCTGAGATGAGCATCCGTGCTAGTGTTTAAAAAAAAAAAAAGGAAAAGAAAAAATTAAGGCATGCCCCTCAACAGCCAGGAACTGAAGCTCTTATTAAATGGTAGGCAGACTTCTTGCCTGCTTTGATCCAGTCCCTCTCAGGCTGAGGGGGGCAGTGCCACACTGTAAAAAATTTCCAGATGTCTCTTAAAAGTGTCATGAATAAAATTGGAAACTGTAGAAGTGTTAATGCGTCCTATGGACTCAATAGCAGAGTTTATTTTTGTTTTTAATGGCAAGGCTTCTAGAGCCAGTGATTGTATGAGTTCCCCACTCTTGGCTATGCTTACAGTTCCATCCAAGTGCAAGAACTAATGAGGTGGGTTGGCTGGCCATGGGGCATGGCCCTAGCCAGACCAGCATAAACCTGAGAGAGGTCGACAGTAGTGCAGAATGAAAACTTGGTTGGGTGTGGGGGGTGGGATGTGGGTGGGCAGGGAGGGAAAAATGGAATTTGTTTTACTTACTGATAAAGCTTTGTGAACTAATTTTATACAATTCATAAAATTTGGTGCCTTGTACCCAGTTATGGTTTGCATGGGATTTAAAAGATTAAGGGAAAGGATTCTTTCTTGTCATTTCAAGTGGCAAATGGGTCTGTATAGTATAAAGGACATATATCAGACTTTGTAAAAGCACTTCATATCTCGTGTGTGAAAGCAAATTATTCTTACCAGCACGTTCTGAAATTTTACTGTAATGTCCAAAATCTGTATTTGATTATTCAGCAGATGTCTCCTTTTCAAGGCAGACTATATACCCCATTCTTTCTCACCACCCCTTTTATGTTCCAAACATTAACTCAGGCCTTTTTAAATCAGGCTGGGAGGGCTACCCCTTCCTAAACGTGTATGTATCCCTGTCTGGGGTTATAGCTTATGAATGGAAGGATTGCTTTTTCTAGCTGGTTGGGAGAGCACAAATGTTGAGAAAAAGGTCTTTTAGTTTTTCTAATGCTGAACAACTTATGGTAGAAGTCAAACAAAAATGGTTCCTCCTGAAGTGGTACCTTCCTTAGTTCTGAAGTTCTTTTGCACAAAATTTCAGGAAGCAGAGTAGAACATAATCCCCAATATGTGAACCTTTAGATTGTAAAGCAAACCAGTACACTGTGTAATATGCAGGAGAGAAGGTTCGAAGACTGTGTGCCAGCCCCCCAGCCCTGCTCCCTGGCAGGTGCTGACGGGTGTTGTGCTGAGTGGCTGTGGAAGAGCAGACCCAGCCTGCTCACCTGCAGAGCTGTAAACACAGCATGTTCCTTTCACCCCCAATGTAAGATTTCCACTGAGCTCGAGACTTCACCAAAGGATGTTTAAAAAGCTCACCACTCAAAGCACATTTGATAATTGGGTTCCTCAGCCTAATTACTGACCTAATTAGGCGAGGCAGTTATATCTTTGGAATAAAACCTCCCTTGGCCTCTTAGATTTTTACTGGGTAAGCGTGCATCTCTCTGGTGATTCAGATTCTTTTTTGAAGTTAGTACTAAAGCTGAAAATGACTAAATATGACTGTGAGTTTAGTTAGTATCTTCCATGTTTAAATTAACCTTTTTCTTGGTCTACGGCTTTGACTTTAACCACTGTACTCATTCAACCCACATAGTGCTCTAAATACACCATGGCTACTAGAGCACTGAGGCCAATGGTCATTTTTGTGGACTCTTTCCATATTTACTTCTGCTGGCATGTTTCTATTTCAGATCTAACTAGGTAAGAGATGTCATAGTACTGTGTTAACTAGTCTGGGCTAAACACCGAATGAAACAATGTAAAACTGACTTCCTTTGAAGAGAAATGTCATGTGCTGAAACAGTAAAAGCCAGCACATTAATTTACAGAATCAGTGATTATTCATCAGAATTTTTGAAAACTGTTGATTCGGTAGCTTTATCTGCTAAATTCTTATCACTTTCAGGAATTAAGCCAATGTAAATGAAACTTTACCTTGCTAGTTTTATGGCTTTATAAACCAACCAACAGTAACACTGTTACTTGAAGCTAAAACATTTGAGTGAAATTTGAATGCTTTTGGAAGCTGCCATGTCTTAATCTTGGTCAGATTTTGATTTTTAGCTTTGAAATTTTTTTTATCAAATAGAACTGTTCACAGTTTTGAGAGCAGGTAGCAGACTTCAAGGATGTAAGTTTCATTCTTATAAAGAATAAGAAGTGCTGGCATTTTGTCTTAGCAGTGGTGTCATGCAGGCTGAAGGGGCTTTTGGGTCTGTTAGGGCTTAAAAGTTTCCTTCTTGGTCACCATTTCAAACCTAAGCCTTGCTTCATATGTGTTACCCTTCCTCATCTTAACAACCCAGTAAGATATAAACCTGTCAGAGCATCTGTTACCCCCATGCAGACCCTTAAAGGATCTTGCCTTCATGTTAAGCCAGACACAGGCCTGAATTCACACAAGCTCAAACTCCCTCCTAACAAATGCTGATAAATGCTCATAGAGAATGTGCTTTTCTTTAACATATAAAAAAGATCTAATTCTCTTAACAGCTTTCTTAATCAGATTTATGCCAGCAGGGTCAAGAAGGACCATTTTATCCTATTTACCTTTAGCGAACAGATAGCTAGACAGTATCTGTCAAATGTTAACAATAGGCTACTGTGGTGCATTTTTACTGATCCTCCTTTCCATTTCATGTCCTTTAATCCCACACCAGTTCCATGGGAGACTCAGCACGCAAAGGCAGTATGTACTTTTTTAAATGCCTCAAAGCACAAATCAACTAGAAAAAATTGCCAAGGGGAGCCTGTTTCTATGTCCACACCTTTCTAAGCCTACATGATTCTAGGTCAGTTCCTTACATAATCCACTTCCAAAGAACCCAATTCCTGGACAGTGGCATCACCACAAAAAAACTTAGGGTCAGAAAACATCTATTTCCTTGTGAAGGAAGCAGCTTCCTCAAGCGGTGTTACTTTAATGCCCACTGCCCAGGCTTACCTTGCCTCCACCTGCACATCACTGCCCTCAAAGCCCACCGTATTACAGGGACAATACCTCCCTGGTGCCTGGAAAACCCACCTGGTGCACTAAAATGCTATGCAACACCAAATGGCTTCTTCCCTTAGTACTACTCAAAAATGGAAATTCCTCCAGAATAAGCTTCATCCTATGTTAACATCAACATATGGTGGCTACAGTTTGTTTCTGTTTTTTATTTTTTTTTAAACGTGAAGCAAACCATTTCTGTTACAATCCATATTTGGGGGCTTGTTCCTGTCTCTTTTTTGAGTGTGAAATATAAATCATCTTTTTATGATTTTTGTAAATCTTGACTTTTTACACCTTGTTTTTGTAAGCCGAAGTTTCTTATTAAAAGAATAAAATGGCTATCTTGGTGTACAGTCTTTATTTCAGATATTTGTTAAAATACCATTAGATTATTCCTCAGGGCCAGAGCAAAGATCATCCCCTGCAAAAACTTAGGAACTATGTACAGAATTTTACAGAACAGAGGACAACACTTTAGCTGAAGCCTGCCTACCGACCAGTGAAGGGTGTTCTGAGTGGACTCAGCAAAGAAAAGGAAATCAGGCAGGGAAGGAAATCAAACTTCAGCTGTCATCAGGGCAAGTCTTGTGATGGTCACAATTGGAGGCTGTTTTTGGAAGGTTCGGGTACAGCACAGGGGTTCCGTGTGTCTGCAATCAAACAGGTGGCGTTAGAAATGTAAAATCACTGGAGGGAAATTGTTAAGAGACTCAAATACCTTGCAACATCTGGAAACACATTTAACTAGGAATAGCCAAGGGTTTTACATCAAGTCTCCTTCCTATTATTTTGTGAATAGTTGATATAAATTATTTCTTCTCGCAGCTTCTAGGACTCCTAACACAGGCAGACAGTGGTTAGTACTTACCTTTATGGTTACACCCCTGGCTGAGGTGCCATTAGGTCAATGTCACTCAAATTCCTGGCCAGCCAGACTCCCGCAGCAAAGAGCCCCAAATTGAGGATTAAGTTCCTGAAAAAAAGAATGCATTCCATTAACCCTGAGTCACATGTCTTTGGTTAACAACCATACTGGGGGGAAAACCTTCCCAAGGCAAAAAACACTTTAGAATTTCAGGAGCGTCGATCGTGCAGAGCAGGTTGCTCAAGACCCACGTGACTATTCAGCGTTCATTTCTATGTCTAATAAGAGCAGGATCAAATGCAAAGGCCAATCAAACATTCGTCCAGGGCCTGTTTACCGTTGACGTCCCCTCTCCACCCGGCGTCCCGGTGGTCTGGGTAAGATTCTCTAGACAGAACCTAGGGACAGAAAAGAGCTTTGGCCGCAGGGGAACTCTCCCGGTCAAGGACCTCGGCAAAGCACAACCAGAGCCACTAGGTGGCAAGATGTTGGCAGTATAAAAAATCCTGAGGGGCCAGCCTCGGCGAAGAAGGGAATTTGAGAGGTTGTGTATGTGGGCGCGAAGGACCAAAGAGGGTCCGAACTCCAGGGCTTTGGTTACCTCCGGAAGTCATTCCTATCCGTAGCGAAGCGGTAGACGCCCCGAAGCCAATCTCCCACGTTGTCTGGAATTTCTGGAGCTTCATTTGCCGAGGCCGCAGTGTTCACGCTGACGCCGCTGGAAGCCATAGCAGAACTCCGCGCTCCGCAAGGCCTCTCACCACGCACTGTGTCCGCGCCGGCGGATCACGCAACTTCCGGTCTCGCACTTCCGCCGGCTACCAGCCGGCAGAGGACGCGGTGGCTCGAACTGGGTCCCACCACCAGGAGGGATGGAGCGCCGCCCTGCTCCACCGTCCCCTGGTCGGGTTCCACCTCCGGCTCCCTCCAGGCCTTCGGCTTGCTCACCCGATCACCGTTACACGTGGTCTCTCAGTGATCACTTCATTGGCTCAGGAGGAGGATGCTGGGGATGTGCCTGCCCAGCCTATGGGGTTGGGTAGGGGCTCATTCAGCAGAGGATGCATAGCTTTGGGGAATGGGGTTCCCCAATAGAGTCTCCATGAAAAGTCAGAGTCATAGCGCGGACTGAAAGGAAACACTCCAACTTTGTCATCTCTCCACCTCCCCCAGCCATGACCTTGACGGTGTTCAGTATAGGAATTTTACAGAGGGAGGAGAGCTCTCGCCTTACAGATCACATGCCCTGCCCCCAGCTCCCCCAACCCTCTTTTCTCCGGGCTGCGCCACTAGCAAATGGTGCAATGCTTCCTGGAGGTGTCGCTGTCCCTAGTTTGGAGACTTCTGGAGGTCTCCCAGGGCCCAGGAAGGCGCTGGCCTAAGAAAAACCCTTCGGGTTCCGATTCAGAGGAAGAGGAGCAAGTGGGGCAGGGGGCGTCCTCCTTGGGATCAAGGGGCGTCTCCAGAAAGCCCTGCTCTTGTCCTTTGGGTGCCTCCGCCTGGTCCCCAGCTCGACACTCCTGCCCCGGGCTGGATCCAAGCATTCCCCTCCGGGTTTCCAAACCGGAGCTGGCGGCCGTGGCGAAAAGGGCTGCCCGGGAGATGGTCGCGGCGTTCCGCGAGTCACGTTCCCCGACTTCAGCTCTGCCGAGCCCCGCCTCCCCTGTTCCAGGCCGGGTCAGAAACGCTCATCTAAGACCTGAGTTTCCTCCTCCCAGACCCCGGCGAGACCGCCGCGAGAAGCCAGTCCCAGTCGGGGACCAGCCTCCTGCCCCGCCCCCGGGCCGTGCGCGCCGCCGCCGCCGCGGCGAGTCCTCTTCCCCCTCCCCGCCCCTCCCCTCCCCTCCCCTCCCCTCCTCCGCCCACCAGAGGGCGGCCGCGGCCCCAGCGAGTCCGCGCCGCAGCCCCAACTGCGGCGTAGGGTGGGTTCGGGAGGCCCTTGGAGCGCTCCGGCCAGGGACGCGCGGTGAGAGCTGCGGGCCCCAAGGCTCGGGTCTGGGGGTGCGGTGGGGGGACGGGGCCGCTGCTGGAGGGGCGGGACGGCGTGGGACCGGGGCGAGGGTCCCAGCCCGGGAGAACCCCCTCCTCAGCCCAGCCCAAGCCGCTGCCCCCCCTCCCCTTTGCACCTTTTCCTCTCTTACCCGGGGACGCCCTGCCTTCCAGCATCGGGTCCGGGCTCGAGCCGGCATTCGAATAGCGACTCTCAAAGCAGCTGGGGCAGCAGGGGCCGCCCCCCGGCAGGGCATAGCGTCCCCCGCCCAAGGGCCCGGCGCAGTCCTGGCAGCAGAAGTGGTTCTCGTGCCAGCGCCGTCCCTCCGCCTGGGTGCAGCGCCGGGAGAAGATCAGCTGGGAAAGGGAGAGGGGAACGGTTCATTCATTCATTCACACATTCATTCATCCATCCAGTAACTACGCCTTATACCCAGTTAACGCTGAAGCACGTCTACAGACATTCCCATTTGATCTACTCAACCACTCTCAGAGACAGGGAGGGCTGATTGGTTTAGCAGGATCCCCCAGCTAGCAGGTGGCACAGCCTGAAGAAGTGCGACCCGGGTCTCCTGGATGCCCAGGGTTGTGTGCTGCCTCTTGTGTGGACATTAAGAGAGCTCCTCGCAGAAGCAGGCACAGCACTGGGCAGCCGGCATACTGAGATGAACATCTGTCCAAGAGTCCCTGCTCTGGGGAAATTCTCTCAGTCCAAGAAAATTTGGGAGACTCTGGCTTGCAGTGGGGGAAGGCACAAAGGCAACGGGTCCCACGTTCCCAGAGCTCAAGTCAGAGCAAGGGGAATATGAAGGTCCCAGGCTAGTTCCTAGTTCTCTGTACCCCACTGCGTGGTACTGGAAGAGGCTCCCTTTACATCTCCCCGCGTGGGACCTTGGGCAGACCTCCTCCAACCCCTCCCAGGTCGTACCTGGTCACAAGCTGGGCAGCGAGGCCGCAGCAGCTCTGCGTGATGACGGCCACAGTAGAGACGCCCATCGTGGTAGAAGTAGATGAGGTTTATCAGGGTCTGGCCACAGGCCTGGCAGGCAAAGCAAGCCCGGTGCCAGCAGCGCTGCTCTCCTGCCCGTGCTGCGAACACTCCGTACTCTCCTGGCCTCAGCTGCTCCCTGCACTGCTGGGTGAGGGTGTTGGGCTGGTCAGAGGCCGCATGGCACCGCACCGCACCGCACCGCACCACCCTCCTACCTTCCCTCCTGGCTCTTTCATCACAACCCCAACCTAACTCTTCTCCCCATACCTCTGGCAAGCCCAACTCCACTGCAGGCTCCACCAAGAACCCCTAAACTTGATTTCCATTTTTCCTAAAGTTTGCCAAACTGTCGATCCCCAAACCCTTTTCCCCCTCCAGAGTCCCAGAAGCCAGCCCTTTCTGCAGAAGAGGGCAAAGAGAGGAGGAAAGGAAATATGGGGGGGGGCACTACATACCTTTTCACAAATGCATTCTTCAAGCTTGGGAGGTACCAGGCGGGCCACCCCCTGTCCCAGGGCCTCCCGCCTCCTCTGGGCACAGAAGAGCCGGAGCTCAGCCAGCTCCTCCTCCCCAAGGGCCAGGCAGTAGCGCTCCTGCAGAAATAGGTGTCCACTGTGACTGGGAGAGCCCCAACAGGCAAGACTGAAGTTTGACTGGAGAGAGAAGGTTTAGCTGCTGGGTCAACGGAAGGTTGTAAAAACTTGGAGAGGTGCAGGAGATAAGAGCCCAGAAGGACACTGAGAAGGAGAGGGAAAGACTTACTGGACTAAAGTCCACCTCAGTCTCACTCCCACCCACAGGAATGGTCATCATTCAGGTCCTGACAGCCCTACCGCACTTAGATCCTGGCTCCCAATGAGCTGTAGCTCAATATCACCTCCCACTGTATTTTCCTTCTTTCTTCCATATTCTCCGGCCTGTCCCCCAATTCAACTGTAAGCCTTTAGGCTGGGCATACATAGGGCCTCAATAAATACTTAACAACCATTCTTTCTACATTTGTACATTCCATTATCGGTTTCAAAAGCTGTTCATGTCCATTTTCTCATTTGCTCTTCAACTAAGCATTGTGGTGGGCAGAGCCGATGTTGCTGCATCCATTACATAGATCTGACAACTCAGGCTGCGGGTGGGGATGAATTCCCCCAGTTAGGCCTTAAATCCATATCCCCTGACTTCTGGACCAAACTTCTTCCCATAGTAAGTAAAGAGAGGGAGGCAAGAGAGAAAAGCTGGGGGTAGAGAGACCCACATCGCTGTCCTGCGGAGGGAGCTGCTGCAGGAGGGTCCGGAGCCCAGGCCAACTAGGGGCTTGTTTGGTGTCCAGGCCTGGGGACCCCAAGCTCAGATTTTCAGGACACTGAGGAAACAAAAGGAGACAAGTGGAGCTAGATTTTTCCTTCCTTACATTTCATTCCTCACCTCTTCATTGCCACCTCTTTTTGAAACTGGAACAACACTTCCAAGCACCCCCCTCCATTTGGAGAAACCCCCTTCAGAATCACAAGGGGATCTTGTGATCCACTCCAGTATTTCTGGTTTGATTGAGGCAGGTCGGGGGGGCACCCCCAAAACTGCTTCCCTTTCTATGCTTGAAATTACTCCCCTTCACTCCTTAGGGCAAAGCCTCTAGGTTCTGCTTTGACAACACAGACCCCCTAGGAGAGTATTCATGTATTCTTATGAATAAGTTTAAAGAAGTTGAACACTTATGTCCTGAGAGGGCTGTTGAGGGATTCCTGCAAAGAGAATGGGCTGCAAGAAGCTGGGCACAAAGGCTAATAACTAACTCCCACTTGTTGCAAATGGGAGGAGATCCAAGGATGGAGGGGATGTTGGTCTCAGAGGGAAGGGCAGGACTCCTACCACCAGAGCAGAGTCCTCAGCGTCCTCCACTGGCATGTGGACTGGGTGGCTGTCTGAGTTGACTGGCGGTGGATTTGGCTCCAGAAGGGTAAGCCTTTCTCCTTGGTGGGGACAGCCAGAGTTCAGCAGCGACATTGGTGGCAAAGTCTGCACAGAAAACAACAAGATGCCTCCCATTTATCTGGCCACTACAATGTGCTTAGCAGGCAAAGTGCTTTACAGGCATTATCTCCTTCAGTCTTCCCAACAACCATGTGAATTCGGTGGTATTCTTGTCCTCATTTTACAGATGGCCAAACTGAGGCTTGCTGAGCATAAAGGGTCTGCCCAAGGTCACACAGCTAGTAAATGGCAGAGCCAGATCTTGAGGCCAAGTCTTTCAGCTCCAGGGTTTCTGAAACTCAAACTCTGGGGTTTCCCAAGATTGGGATGGCAGAGACAGGAGGCCCATGGGGAAGGAGAGGGCATTCGGCCCTTCTGGTGAGCCTTTGGGCAGCCCTTGTTTCCCACCTCCCTGGCCGTAACTCCCACCGTTCCTCACTATGCTCTCAGCACCCAGTGAGCCTGCTTCCTCGCCTCTCCCCGCTCAGGCCCACTTTTCCTGTCGGTTGGGCCAGGTGAAAGGACCACGGCACCAGGAAGTCCTTCTTAGCCTCTCCAGCCCATACCAGCTCTCTTTTCCCTGAGCTCCAGAAGTAAGTAGAATGGATGTGCCAAGATTTAGCACCTAATGTTTCTCTTTGCTCCCTGTATCTCTCCCAGCTTCTCACCTGGTCTATAAGCTCCTCAAGGACAGAGGAAACACTTGTGCTTCTACCTTCTATCTGTAGTGGCAACTTCATTAGATAATTCTAAGTGCATCTCTTCAGCCCTTCTCTGGGAAAGCTCTACTACGGCGACAGTATCTCAGGGGTGGGAGGTGACTACTGAAGTAGAAATGGGGTGGGCTCTGCCCTCAAGAAGCTCATAGACTACTGGGTAAGACAGAGATAAAACCAGGTAGGATGGGGCCAGGGCTCTGGGCAGAAATACACAGTACCCTAGGAAGAAAAATAACCAGAGCAAAATTTTCTAGAATGTTTACTCTGTGCCAGGGATCATTCCAACATGTTACAAAATATAATCCATCCTCACATTAATCCTATGAGGTAGTTTCTATTATCCCATTCTACGGTTGAAACAAACAAAGGTTAATTAACTTCCCCAAGGTCGCATTAAAAGGCTAAGGGAAGCTTTAGAGGAGGAGGTTCCTTTTGAGAGCTGGGATGGATTCTGAGGGCAGCTGGGCACAGGAGGGCATCATCAAATCTGTGGCCTTTGTAAGACTCAGTTTTGGGGCTGGGAACAGAGTTTGGATAATAACAATTATATTGCTTCCCAGCCCCTAGTCCCCTTCCTGTGCCACCCATTCCTGCTTCCTGGCTCTACACCCATCTGATTCCTTCCTGTTCTGTCCCTCAGGTCAGGTCAGGTTTCCTGTGGAAGGTAACCAGGATGGGATGTTCACACTCAGGGCCAGGAGTAGCCACTTCCCCTAGCAGCACTGCCCCTGGGGCTCCAGGCAGCAAGAGGTGCTTGGGGGAGGGGGCGGGCACAGGAAGGGGAGCATCTGGGGCCCTAGAGGGGACTTGAGACCTCTCTTCCATGTTAGTTCTAGTTTGCATGAAATCATTCCACACAGAAACAAAACTCTGAAATTAGCCCTCACCCCTCACCCTTCATCCCGCCTGGGCAGCATAACTCCACCTCCACTTAGAACCAGAGCCCACCTTACTAACTGGCTAGATTCCTTCCAGAAGTCCCCTCCTTAGAAAGGGGACAGGTGCAACTGGGCTCAGGAGTTCTACGTTCCCAACCCACCCTTTCCCTGAAGGGCAGGGTCTAGGGATTGGGGAGGGGGTGGTGGGGAGTGGTGTAAAAGGATGGGAAAGTTTCCCGAGACAGTGAGAGGAAGAAGGGGTAAAATGTCTGGTCTGGCCAAGCCCCCTCTCGACAGAGCCCCAGTTTTTTCTTGGGCTTCGCGGGGCCCACCTCCGAGGCGGGTTGCGGTGTGGTTCCATCTGGCTGCTGGGAGTTTAGGGGAGGGGATGGGACTCCGCTGGGATCTCACCCTTGCTGCGCGCCGGTGTCCGGGCTGTTCTGTACAGACCCCGCCGTCGGGCCCCTCACCCAGTCTCCACCCCGAGGCCTCGGCGCCAGCCTCTGCCCGCCCAGCCCTCCCTCTCCCACGCCCCCAGTGGGCCCTGCCCACCTCTCCAGGGCTGGGCTAGTAGAGCCGGACGGCTCGGGGAGGGGCCTTGAGCTGCAGACTGAAGGAAAGCATTTGTAGGATCTCGGGCAGAAAGTGTTCAGGCTCCACTGACCCCACGCCCATAGGCTTAGCGCCGAGACCGCGTCCCTGCGGGCGCGGAGCACACAACCGGAAGCCACCGTTAAGCCGGGTCCTCACGCACTAGCTGAACAGAACGCCTTTCGGAGCCCGCAGGTCCCTGCAGACCCTCCTTCTGGTCTCCTGGCCCCGCCTCTCTCTGTGTGTCCCCACCTCCATCTAGTTCCCTCCCCCTTGTCCCTCCCCTCTTTCTGGGGTCCCTCGTCCTGCCCTTCTCCCTTCCGTCTCTTCAGGCTTCCCTCCCCACCCATCTTTCGTGTGTCTGCCCACTGCCCCCGGCTCCGGTCTTTTTCTGATCCTGAAAGTAGAAATCTTTGGTCCCACCTCTGGTCCCCTCGGCCCTGCCCGAGTCCCGCCCTCGCCCCAGGCCCCGCCCCGCCAGGCTCGCTCAGCCGCTGGCGCGGAGCGCCCTCTGGCGTCTGCGCATGCTCCCCGCTCCCTACTGCAAAGTCCTCCAAAGGGACTTTCTAGGCTGCGCGCCGGTCGCCCCCGATCGCGTCCGCCCGCCCGCAGCGTCTCGTTGGTGCTGCCGGTGACCTCCAACACCACGGATCCGGGGAG